CTTTCACTTAGGCTGTTAGCTGTGACATTGCTGTTTTGTGACATTTTATATCCTAGGTTGCATCGCATGGACTCAAGATGGAGCTTGCTCCGCATCCTAGACTACTCAGGTTTTCTTTTCTTTGGTAGAGTTCCGCTTCTTGGCGGAAGCATGTTTGTATCTAGGCGATCCATCACAGGCCGAAGATCGTGTAGCGGACCTCGGGTTGGCCTGTGAGACCAGCCCCTTGGCCTGTTCTCACAGGCCTGTGTTATATTCGGGGTAGGCCAGTCCAGGCCGGTACCTCTGTCGGTACCAGCCAGTCCAGTCCAGCCCCGTCAGGCCGCTGGGGTATACCCCAGCCATTGTCTGTTTTCAGCCTCATTCCTCACTTGCACATTTTGGAGTACGTGCGTTGGAGTCTTGCGTGGGGAGCTGCGTTGTGCCATCTTGCTCCCCCTTCTTCCTCCATCTCCATCTCTGTCACTAGCGGAGCACCACACCTGGTGGGTCCGCTACACATCCAGATTCAGGCATTCTATCCGATCCTCTTTGCTAGTGAGGACCTCAGCCCTGCTCTCTCGCGCCGCCAAACTTGGCGGACGGTCCTGTCGTCTATTCGGCTACTAAATCGAGACCCGTTGGGCGAGGAGAGGGGTGAGAGGGTTTACCCGCTGCAGCCGGATGGCCCCGTCGTGTGTTCAACTACTAAATTGAGACCCGTTCGGCGAGGGGAGGGGTGAGAGGGTTCGCTCGCTGCCACCCATCCGGTAGAGCCTGGAGTCCTGGACTGCAATATTGCAGTGGGTACACACACGACGTCTCCACCGCTACTTATTCTCTAGAAGCTACACACGACTTCTACACACGACGTCTACTTATTGGGCAGCGCATGCAGTTGCTATGGAAGTGAGAATCTTGAGATCGGCGGTGCGGCAGTCCAGTTTCACTGGTTCTCTGCTGCCGCTCATCCCTTCGGAAACGCCACGGATCTCGTGAGTTGGTATATTGTCCTGGTTAGCTTCGTGAGTTAAAACTGTGCTGGTTTCTGATGATATTCCTGGAAGAGTTTGGAAGGTAGTGGGTCCAGATTTAGCCTCAGGTTGGAGAGTTGAAGAGTGGAGTACTCCAATGCTTCAGGGGGCCGTCAACTCTCCATTTGCAGGAAGCAAGAGTGAGGGAGTCTACTGTAGGGAAGCAGGTGCTCTTCTTAGGACCAGCATCTAATTTTCGTGTGGAACCCCTATCTCTCTCCTGGAAAGTTCCTAGTGGATCTGGGCAGGGCTTAGATACCTTCCCTCTGGTGGCCTATAAGCCTAAGTGGGGATGAGGTCTTTGCGTAATCTTGTAACGAAGACGCCAATGTTGACAGCTACAAGGAGATTGGAAAAAGTAACTAATGGGATGTCCAGCCCACCGGACTGGAAGGCATTCTGGAAAATACTGGCCTGGCTCCCTTCTCAAAAGAATGCGAGTTTACTTTGGTTACAATCCTTCCTGGTGATCTCCACAGCAGTTTGGTTGAACCAAAAGGGAATGGACTTGAGTTTGACATGCAGCAGGTGTGATTGGGGATGGGAAAATAATTCTCATCTATGGCTTTGTTGTCCGTTGGCTGATGAGATCTGGATGTGGTGGTTGAAGATCTGGGATATTATCACCAGCTCTACATGGAAATGGACGGATGAATGGACGTTATATGGGATTCTGCCACAGCGCGAAGGAGGATATAACGCTGGTTGGGGCTATGTGGCCATGACATGTAGGGGGGTCATCTTCCAAGAAATATGGAGGGCGCGAAATGCCCAAGTCTTCAGGGGAAAGAAAATTGTGGTTCAGGAGCAACAGTCTCAGATTAAAGGAAATATTCGGCGTTCAATCTTGGCAGACTGGCAGGGCTGCCATAAAGTAATAAGAAGGGCCTCCCATGGTTTATGCGAACATGGGCTAAGAATAGCAGTATAGTCTCAGTCTCATCAGATCGTAAGCTCTCCTACACAACAGGGTTTAGAGTCGTATTAGACTCGCTTGTGACTGGGTTTTTGAAGTAAAATGGCAGATTAAGGCAGATGGGACTTAAAGGAGCCGGATTCTATTTGCTCCACCTTTTCATGTGACTCAAGTTAACTTTTTTGGAGGTTGATTGGTTAGTTGGCAGGCTGTTGGTTATTAGTTGGTTTTTTGGGGACGCTGGACCCGGTTTCCAGCACAGCCTATTCTGGGTAATGGTCCCAGAGGAGACTTCCGGGTTGTTTGTGAGGATTCCTGGCCTCTGTCCAACTTGGTAATAAAATATTGACTTCCTCCAAAAAAAAAAAACAAAAAAAAAACTGTGCTGGTTATATATTGGTTGAGGCATGCGTAGTAGTGTTCCACAGCTTTTCTGATTTCTATTGACGCCCGCAGGATATTGGGCGTCGCTCCACTACTCCGGAAATGCACAAAAGACAAAAATCATGGCCATGAATCTTTCCTTCTGCTAGGGCAAGATTCACACTCGTTTTGCACATTTCGATAGTGGTGGAGCGAGGCCGATTGGCTGTGGTAGACAGCGTGGGCGCTCGGCACAACTTTTCTGATTTCTATTGACGCCCGCAGGATATTGGGCATCTCTCCAGTACACCGGAAATGCACAAAAGACAAAAATCATGGCCATGAATCTTTCCTTGTGCTAGGGCAAGATTCACGCTCGTTTTGCACATTTCGAGAGTGGTGGAGCGAGGCCCGTTGGCTGTGGTGGTAGACAGCGTGGGCGCTCGGCGCAGTGAACGAACACAGTGACTGGTCTTGGTGCTAGGCATTTTCATCGTAGTGGGTATTTTGGAGCACGTCGAGTGAACAGGATCCGGGTCTTCTTCCTCGTGGTCGGAGTTCTTAACACCAGTAACCATGAGTTCGGGAGGTGGCTCTGGCAGGGGCAACAGCAGGGGCAAGGGCAGGGGCAAGGGCAGGGGCACTAAGTCTGTATCGCGCTCGCAGAAGGCTGGACTGCAGTTTCCCGTTGGTCGAATTGCGAGGTTCTTGAAGGCAGGCAAGTATGCCAAAAGAGTTGGAACTGGAGCCCCTGTGTACTTGGCTGCCGTTATGGAGTACCTGGCTGCAGAAGTTCTCGAGCTGGCGGGTAATGCTGCGAGGGATAACAACAAGAAGAGAATTACCCCCCGGCATATTCAGCTGGCCATCAGGAACGACGAGGAGTTGAGCAAGCTTCTCGGGCAAGTAACGATTGCCGGCGGTGGTGTTCTGCCCAACATCCACTCCGTTCTTTTACCGAAGAAAACGGCGAAAGGAGATGGGAAGGCCGATATGGGAACGTGCTCGTCGCCGGCGAAAGGCGATGGGAAGGCGGAATCCCATATGGGAACGTGCTCGTCGCCGTAATTTTGAGGTGTTTCGTCAGCCTTCAACCGTTTTAAATGTCGGCAGGCACTCCCATCCCATCCATGGATGATGGGAGTGCGCCCGCCATCCTCCTGTAGGTCATTGAATAATGCTCATCCTACAGCTGCTTCTAGTCGTTCCGGACTCTATCTCGTACTAACGAACATTCAAACTCGAAGCCGATTTCAGAGCGCCGCTTTTTTTTGCGTTGATATGGGTTTAATAATGTTCTGCGCGAGGTTCGGGATCTAGGCGAAGAGTAGTACCTGTCGGCTGTAGGAATAACATTAATTTATCCAAATACCTTTCCATTTCTGAATACCAGTGGACAATCGGTTTCTGTTTTGCCCTGGTGGGTCGGTTTTATTGCTGGATTGCACGAGAACGTTGAAGAAAGCCACCAGCGCGTGAAGTATCTCACACTGAGGTAGGGTGAAGATGGATGGCGACCGTTAAGGAGGGCTCGCGGATGATGGGCTTGGCGCGAGATTATCGACGACAATACGGTGGTCTAGTTTTGACCGGTTCTTGCTTGTTCGTGTTTTCCGTGCGGACTGTATGATTTGCCGTCCATGAGGGCATTCCCGACTTGAAGGCGTTGTGCTTCAAGTATAGGTTTCCATGCTGTTGGGGCTGCCGCTCTCTGATGGATTGGTGTGTACCTTTAGCGAGGCGGAGTTTGAGTGTTAAGTAGATGCAGGTCTGCCGCCTGCGTACCTTTCAGATCGATTTCTCCAGCGGGTACGAGTGCATGCACTCTTTGGGTGGTGGGGTTGCAGTTGAGTAGGGTCAGGTGAAGAGAAATTCTCAAGAATTAAGGCCACGGAATTTTGCCGATTCCTATTACGGTCCTGACGGATTGAACCAAGTGTGTCCGTGGCTCTGTCAAAATAGTGTTGTGAATTATACTGTTGCGAAATGGATTTTGGTGGCAATTCTGAAATGATTTGAAGGAGACTTTCTTTGTGGGGCTGTCCAAAGTGTCAAGGTTTGGAAAAATGAAAAAAAAAAAAAAGGTGGGGAACGCAGCCCGATGAAGAGCTGCGCTACCCAGCGTACTCGCTGTCCGGAGACGCGCTCTGCTTCGGCAGCCAGTTTGGGATTCGGGGTGTGGGGCGGAACGATGTTTTCCTCTACGATCTCTAGGTAAAGGGGCTGTGTCTCCCTGTGGAATACCAGGGAGCAGGGGCTGTGTCTCCCTGTGGAATACCGGGGAGCAGGGCGATTCCAACTCCTCCTACAACAGATCCTACAACAGAATCTACAAGAGTCAGGTAACCAGTGCAGTGTGAACACGACGAAGGGAGAGTGAGTCCAGTACGGGACAGCGGGCACATCCAACATCGGCACCTCTGGAGGCAGTGGGTGGGCAGCCGGTGGTGGTGGGACTGGTGGTGGGGGGAGCACGTGAGAACTACTGTTGACTATCTCTACTGGGAGCGTGAAGACCTGAAGCTCTGGGGGCGGCGGCGCCACCAATGGGAGTGGGAGTTCCTCTGGTGGTGGTGGGAGCGTCTCCGTTGGAATTAAGGCCGCTGACTCCGGCGCTGAGTGTTAACTAAGCCACTCTCTAGCACGAAATATTTAGAGTGCATTAACCCAGCCATAATTTTTTACTCCTTATGAGTGGCTTACTTCATGACTATCGTGCACGATAATATCTGGAAATACTGTCACCCTCTTTCAAGCTCCTCCTGCTATGTGCTTTGGTGTCACAGATGGCAATCTTGATTGTATTTAGTCATTAGTATTCCGTATCTGGGCGTATGTTTCGTTTGGTGCACTCTTCCTTCAAGTTTGTTTTCTTCTATGCAAAACCTCGTGTAGTGCAGTAGTTTGATCATACTCTGGATTGGGTCGTAAGGTTGGATTCAGGCAACCCTCCATCCCTATTCCCATATCAGAGCCTTAGTATAACATAGTAATTCCAAAAAAATTGCGTGTAACGTTTATCGCACCGAATCTCACCTAATGTAGAGGCTATTTCAAGGAATCTTCACTGCAGGTTCTCGGCTTTAGGTTGGTTGGTAAATGTCGAAGGTTGGGGGTTGTTCGTAGAAGGCAACGGAACTACTGGTGGTGGTGGGAGACCTAATAGTTGTGGGAACGTTGCTGACCTACTGTGGCACAACTGAATAGCATTTAGCTGTCAAGAGAGCAAACTTGGGTTGTACCCATTGAGATCTAGGGTGCCTGGGAGATGGCAGTTCCTACAGAGGTCCAAGGGTGCAAGGTGGGAAACCTCGTCACGGCAACCCAAGCTCCCCACGACTACTAGCTGCTGCTCTGTCGGGCCAGTATTGGTGCTGTATTCTTTCGGTGGAAATTACTTGATTTGCTTGTCGGGCGAATCCTTTTCTTCAACTCTCCAGAACCGAGAGACTATCAATTCAAATTTAAAGACTGGCTTTCTGTAGACCCCAACATCCCCATGCGTCCAGCAGAGGACTTTCCAGATCCGTTCCCTCCCCACTCACAGGCTGTGGAAATATGTCTGTAATCAATCAATAAGCGCTTCCCACTCCCTTTTACCCTCCCGTTCCCCTTTCAAAAACACCCCCGACCAGGCTGTCACCCCACCCTACTTAGCTCTGGTCATTTGGCAAAAGCGTTGTCCTTGTCTGTCTAGGCTCTGGTCATTCTGTAAATGCATTGTCTTTGTCTGTCCAGGCTACGGTCCACTACACTGCAACAATGACTCCCTACAACCCTTTTCCTGGGAGGGGTTGAGCGGGGAACGAGAGGGATGGGTCCTCTTGGTAGGACGGGCAAGGGAACGGAAAGAAACACTGGTGCCGCCCAGGGGTTCCTCCCGGATCCCTGTCCTGACTCTGGGATGCAGAAGGAGATTGAGGACTTAGCCTACCTGGAGTTCACTGTTCAGAGGTACTAGTGCTTCAGCAGCAGTAAATCTACCTGGGACAGGGCGAAGTGGACCATCAGGCATTCAGGGGAAACCAGTCCTTCAGCAGCAGAAATTCGGCGCCTGGTACAGGGCGAAGAGGTTTTCTCCCTGCAGCTCATTATCCTGTGCAGAAAGACCTTCTGAGGATAGCGTTCATCTCAGTCAATTTCCACTACAGCCGGCTCAGTGGCAGGTCTGTTTTTGAATTTTTTCAATACCCTGCTCAGTTAATCCCCTGGAGCCCAGGGTAAACAATGCTGGCAGGGGCCTTCTAAATCTTTTCTGTTTACATCTGTATATGGGACGCTGGACCCGTTTTCCAGCAGGTGACGCTCCCCACCAATAGATGGAGCCTCTCCCCAAGTGGTAGTGGTGTCTGCTCTTATCAACGCCATTACCACCGGCAGGGGTGTTTAAAAAAAAAAAAAAAAAAAAAAAAAAGATTCTCCCCAAGTGGTAGTGTGGTGTCTGCTCTTATCAGCGCCATTACCACGGGTGGGGGTGTTAAAAAAAAAAAAAAAAAACAGATTCCTTTCTAGTTCACAATCTGTTATTTGGCTTTGTTCGCTAGGGTTTAGTTATACCATGACTTTTATAATTTCAAGTGGCGGTTTGCCGTTTTCTGGCCATCTGCATAGGCTGGACTTATAGGCTTGCTACAGATTTTTCGAACGTGGATTTTGAATTGGTGACAGTTTAAGGGTGCTGTAGATTTAGACATTTAAGATTACAATTCCATAGGGATAGCTGGTTTCTCAGCTCTGATGCTTCACGCTTGGAAATGCATTTGAAATTGTTTTAGGTTGCCGGATAGGAATTAAGACCTTTTTACTGCGCTTCAGGGGAATTTTTTGAGAAACTTCTTTGAGATAACAGAGTGAGAAAATGGGACACTGGACCCGGTTTCCAGTTCTGCCGAAGCTGGGTAATGGCCCCAGTATGTTCGTCCGGGTTGAATTGTGAGGTCCCCGGCCTCTTCTGAACTTCTGTTATTTGTAATAAAGTTGAACAACTTCTCAAAAAAAAAAAAAAAAAAAAAAAGTTTCGAGGTTTTGTTTTTGTTGGCTCTTTATTTAGTCCCCGTTTTTCTCTTTCCATCGTGATCTCATCATTCCGTTTCCTTCCTAGATAAATCATTGTGCAAGTTCTTCGCTTTGCCCTCCTGTGTGCCACCCTGTGTGCCACCAATTCATGGTCTAGATTGATACGATGGACGTTGTGCAAGTTCTTCGCTTTGCCCTCCTGTGCGCCACCAATTCATGGTCTAGATTTATACGATGGACGCTGCTTATTTTTTTGATCTGGTTGTCGGAGATGACAAGGTTCACCACGCGAAACAAGCCTGTTTGTTGCCGAGGCCTAAATGCTCCGACCTATTCTCTGTGTTCTCTCTCTCTCCACAACTCCCCTTCTGATTTTCGCCGTGTTCACGTCGACGTCGGAGGGGTGCTTGCAAGTCAGATACCTTCTCCTAAAAATAAAAATAAAAAGGTCAAGAGATAAGTATACCAGATTGGTACCAGCATTGGCGGGCCCTCAAACGGCTTCCATCTCAGAGGGCAGCAAGTTTGCTATGGATGCAGTCCTTGCAGGTAGTACCCTTGGCCCAGTGGCTAGCGGCCAGGGGAATGAACATTCTGGAGACATGTTCTCGGTGTGGTTGGGGATGGGAATCTAATTCCCACATGTGGGTTCACTGCCCTCTGGCTGATGAGATTTGGCAATGGTGGTCCCAGCGGTTGAATGATATCGTTAAACCACCAGTACCTCGCTCAGTGTTCGGCCGCGGGCCTTCCCGTATATGCGCCGCAGCCTCAGGCTGGTCGGCCAAGGGAAGGCCCGGTCGTAGCGCCAAGGCCGGTCACCGCATCAAAAAAAAAAGAAGAAAAAAAAATGAAATACACAAACGAAAAAAAAAAAAGGGGAAAACAGNAGGCTCAAGTTGTCGACGAACCCTTTTTCCTTGATTTTCACTGCGCACCGAGTTTTGCCGAGCTGAGGCAGTTTTTTTTTTATAATTAAAAGTAAAAAGGCTAGTTCTTTTAATCCACCAGTACCTCGCTCAGTGTTCGACCGCGGGCCTTCCCGTATACGCGCCACAGCCTCAGGCTGGTCGGCCAAGGGAAGGCCCGGTCGTAGCGCCAAGGCCGGG